TGAATAACAAATGATCAATGATATTAAAAATTATGACCGATAGAACAAATTCTCAATAATAAAATTCCATTTAAAAGGCTGATCCCCTACCTGGAGTGCAGGAAGGTATTTGGGGAGCTCCTGTTTCAGCTCGATGGGGGAGGATGCTGGTGAATCAGGAATGTATTCCCCTTCTGTCATGGCATTGGAATGAGGGGATCCCTCCCCCACCTCCTCCTCCTCCACCTCGCTCCCCGCTGAATCGCGGTCAAACCTCGACTCTGGAACTTCAAAAGTCAGAATCAGTCGTGGAAAGAGGAGATGGGTGGAGTAATTGAGCTCAGCTCAAATTGGGATTGGGTGTAATTCTATTAATTGGGTATAATTCTATTGATTTGGTATAAGTATAATTCTATTAAATGGGTATAATTCTATTGATTTGGTATAATTCTATTGATTGGGTATGGATAAAATTCTATTTATTTGGTATAATTCTATTAATTAGATATGGGTCAAATTCTATTAATTTGGCATGGGTAAAATTCTATTAATTTGGTATAATTCTATTAATTTGGCATAATTCTATAAATTGTATTGGATATAATTCTATTAATTGGGTATCAGTAAAATTCTATTGACTGGATGTAATTCTATCACTGGGTATTGGGTGTAATTCCATTAATTGGATATAATTCTGTTAATGATTGCTGCCAGATCATTAAACAGAGGTGTTTTTAAAAAAAAAAAGGCTCCTCCATGAACCTGGAATTTGCTTGAGGAAAATAAAAGTGGTGACACTGCATGGAAGAGAATCATAGAGCAGCTAAATTTCTCCTCAAGGTTTTCAGTCATAGATTTACAACTTACACTGTTAATGGAGCAGGTCATAAAAATAAATGTTTACACCATAATGAAAGAGAAAATTGACCCAGGATGTCTCATTCTGATTGCAAAGCTTATTTGGTGAGAGGACAAAACCCACAATGAAAAAGGAGGAAATATCAGTTTGTTAGACTGATTCCTTCTAAATACACAGCTTGGAGCAGATTTCATGGAATTTCTGTGTTTAACATGAAAATAGCATTTAAATTTTTGAAATATTTCTAGAAATAGATTAATTTAGCTGCAAAAACTCAGCCAAACAGCTCTATAAAACAGGCAGGATTTGCATTGTACCAACTGGGATGTGGTTTCCATTCTCCCGTTCCTCCTCTTCACTCATTTCCTCTTCGCTCACCTCCTCTGCAAAACACAAGGAAGTTTTATTAAAAACTAAAAAAAAACAAAGTTGAAAACTAAAATTAAAGAAGTTTTAATAAAATCCACATTTCTGCAGCTCCTTGGGAGGTAAAACCCTGCTGGAATCCTTTCCCATCTCACCAAGATTTCTGCACTCTCAGTGACCAATTTTAATTCTTACCAATTATCTGGGAATTGGGATGTGGTCAGGTAAATAAATGATGAATATTGGCTTATTAACTCTAATTAATTTTAAAGGAAAGTACCAGAAATCAGAGCTGCTTTTGTGCCTTTTCTTTACTAATTCATGACCAGAATGGCTGCACCCAGATTTCTTTACTGAACCTTTTGTTATTATGTTCATTCACTTAAAAAAAAAAATCTCAAATTTGCAACTGAAAATAAATCAAAATGGAATTTTGGATTTCCCCAAAGAGTGCCAAACTCCGTCCTGCAGAATATTTGCTGTGTTACAAAACCACTGGAATTGCTGACAAATTAGGAGACAAAAATGGCTTTTCTGCTCCTGATTTGGCTTCTTCAGTGAAGAATTGGCATTACCTCTACACAAAAGGATAGAAATTACTTTACTTGGGGTTTTTCTTTTTATTTATCTTGACCTGTGAGGTCTCAGCCTAGCCTAGACTAAGAAAAAAGGAAAAATGTTCAAATAAAACACCCCAGGATGAGAAATAAAGAAAACCACAGCTGCTCTGGGATCCTCACCTGCTGATTGCTCAGACACCTCCTCRGAATTGCTTCCTGTCTCCTCCTCCTCCTCCTCTTCCTCTCCTTCCTCCTCAGAGCCTTCACTGCTGGATTCTTCCTCCTCCTCTTCTGAGCCTGATCCAGATTCTGTGCAGGAATAATCACACAGAGAACTAAGCACTCAATTCCTCAGCAGAAAAATGAATTCCATCTCTGCAATTAATCAATTAATCACAGCTCCTCAATTGCATTTAATCACCTGAGGAAGACTCTGCTGAGCTGGTTTTTCTCTCGCTGTCACTGATGTCTTGYAAGTCAGAAAGAGGATCCCTCTCTTCTGGTTTTTCTTCTTTCACTGCTGAAATTATAAAAATTAAAAACAAGAGTGCTAATTCAGTATCATTTCTAAGATTCTGAATTCCCAGGTAACTGCTTCACTTTCTGCTGGCATTAAATCAGTAATGGAAATTCAGAGCACTAAAAAAAAAAAAATAATTTCACACTCTGCTCAATGACAAACAGCTTTTCTGAATTGCAGCAGTGCAGGATAAAAAATATGGAATATTGACCTGTTTTTTAAACATGATGTGTTCCTAAGGTATTCTGAGATTAATTAAAACAGGGGGAAAAAAGGGGAAAAAATAACACGGTGACAAGAATGACCAGGACAGGGTCCCTACACACTGCTACTGCCAGTGCTCACTCTCTGATCACCATGAAAAATCACTGCTGGTGGMTTTGGCAGGAATTTCCACCTGGAATTCTGGCTGATTCCATCCTGCTWTGAGGGCCTACATCAATTTTCACTCATTAACAAGGCAGACACAGCTTTCCTCTGTCAAACAAAGGCATTTTTATGGCACTTGTGCAAGTTCTCTGCCTCCAGAACTTTCAGATGGGACCATTTTCTGGCTTGGRAAACAAAATTCACCATCTAAGCAGAACACTGGCCAAGAATTCAATTTCTTCTGCAAGATGACAGTGATGCTTACAGTGATCTCTTTAAGGCCACAGTTTAAAATAGTTCAGCTCCTAACCCCAAATCCAACCAATCCCTTTTTTAACTYGCAAGGGAATTGAAAACTGCAGGATTGATTTTAAAAATTCAGTCAGCTGCTTCTTTCACCACTGAATGGGGTAACTCATMTGGAAACTTTTCCAATTCCTACTCCTACCCCTAAATCCATTTGTATGACCACAAAACCGGCGTCGCTTTAGGGAAAAATCCAAACGCAGATATTGGTGAAGATCCCAGAGTTACACCAGGATGGCTGAGGTGGAAAATCCTTAGAACTGAGTACCTGGGATGTTTGGTTAAGACTAAAAATGCAACTCTACCCCAGCCCAGCTGCTGCTGCCCCCAAAGACAGTGTAGAGTGGCAGGTGCTACCTGGTTTCCTGCTCTCTCCTTGCTCAAGCTTGTCTCTCTGCTGGCGCAAAGGGCTGCGACTCCAGGGTCTCATTTTTACTTTGTCTCCATATTCTTCCCTCACTGTTCTATGGTGTGCAGAAACTAGGGAAAACAAAACCACAAGAAATTGTTACAGCTGCCTAATTTCGAGTTGTGCTGTCTGCCACAGCCACCTGATTCAAAAGTTTTTTGTTATTTTTTTTTTACAAGGTGACAGGGAAGAGTGGGAAAGGAACCTGCCAGTATCTGGGAGAAGGAAGGAATTTAATTAATCTAAAAGAAAAGAATTCAATTAATTCTACTTTTAGAATTTAATCTAAAATAGAAGATGGATTTGTACTGCTTAGAGAAAGCTGCTGCCACATTGGGGAAGCAGAAGCAAGCTGCCCTGTATGGTATACAGCAAACACCCCGATTCTAAAGCATTAATGCCAGAGAAAGAAGTGGAAGATCAGTCAAAGAATAAAACCAGCTGAGGTTTAGAAGGAGCTGACAGAACATTCAATTAAAATTCAAAACCAATTAAATGAAAGGCTACACAGATTGAGCACTATCAGCATAAAGCCAAGCGCAAAAAGGAGCTGTTTGGTATGAGCTGAGCAAGAAAGGAAAGCAAAAAAAAAATGGTTTGTTCTGCTATTCTGGAACAATCTTTGTCACCAGATCACAGGAACGGGCTCTGATTTTTTACCTCTGAAAGCTGGGACAGAGATCCTTTAACCAGCAATGATCTGAGCTTACATTTCAAGTACCCAGCACTGTGCAAAGAGCTCACGTGCAGAATTTAAACTGTTCAGGCACCAGATTGTCCCACCTGACTCCCCCCACAGCATTTCCAYGGCTGAATACTCACACAACCTCTTCTCCCTTTGCAATTTATTCCCYCAAATCCACAAAATGTTGAATGCAGAGGTTTCAACCTCTATCAAACTGGGTAAGACTCAGCCAGAGAGTTGAGAACCTCTGGGATTGTGCTGGGTGCACTCRGTGTCACCCACAGAAATGTTGTTTTTGTAGGAAACCAGGCTGACAGGGAGAGGCAAAGCCTCAATCAACCTGCCAGGATATTTCAGGCCCATAACATCATCACATTGTTTCATCTCCCCATGCAGAACTCAGATTTCCTCTTCCCTCCCACATCAAAGGCCTCCCCATTTCAATTTTTTTTTAAACTCTTGCACTGCACTAAATAAAAYAATTTTTTATCCCTCCATTCCATCATGGATAGAAAAGAGATAGAGAGGGTGAGGAATATTTAGGCAGAGAGAGTCACCTTCTCTCCTGGCTTCCCTCTCCTTCCTCCTCTCCTCAGCTCTCCTTTCTCTCTCCTTTTGTTCCCGTTGTTCCTTCTGCTGCTCCCGGATTTTTCTTTCCCTTTCTCTCTCGAGTTGCTCCAGACGATCCCTGGAAAATAATTTGGTTTTGTTACAAATTCAGCTCCTGAAAGGAAGGAAATCTGGTTTGCTGCAACAAACCACTCACCTCAACTTCCTTCTCAACACCCCCCATTGTGCATCAGTCAMAAGCAGATCCTCTAAAAATCCTTTAAAAAATGAATTTCAAAAGATCCAGACCAGGAGTTCTCCACCCTTRTGAGGAGTCAAGCAGAAATTAAGCCAGTTCAGTTAATTAAATCTTTAATTATGTGCAAATCTGGTTTGCTTTTTTTTTTAGGGTGGAAAAATCCTCTAAGACCATCCAATCTTTTCATTTTAGTGAACCACAGGCAGTGATTTCACCTGGTAATGAACTCAGAAATAATTGAAATTCCATTAGACAACACATTCCCAGGAACAAATTTTCACTGTGGATTTTTTTTTTTTCCTTTGGGTCATTTCAGAACAACAAATGCTCCGAGATAGATCAGAGGAGGAGCTGTACCTCTCCCTCCTGGAATGCTCCCTTGCCATCTCTCTCCGTTTCTGTCTCTCCCATTCACGCCGGGCTTTATCCTGCTCTTCTCTATGTCTCTTCCTACGCTCATGCTCCCGTTCTTTCTCTTTCACTCTGGCATGTTTCCCTTRAACAAACAGAAATTGGTTTCTGAGTGTTACCAGTCAGAGAATTCAACGCTCCCATTCTCCCCAAACCAAAACTAAAAARGGTAAAACTGATGGGAATCTATTGCTGTGAGCTTTGGTGTTTTCTTAAAGGGAAAATCCTGTTCTGAAAAGGGGGAAAAGCTGAAAATCTGTAAGGTCTTGCACAAACAGCAGAAAACAGCTCTTRGGAACAGGAGGACAATGGGAATGTCTCTAGGAAGAATTTAGAAAACAGATCTTGGGAACAGGACAAAGGGAATGGCTCTAGAAGGGATTCAGAAAATAGGTTTTGGGAACAGGAAGATAATGGGAATGTCTCTAGAAAGGATTTAAAAAACAGCTCTTGGGAACAGGAGGATAATGGGAATGGCTCTAGAAAGGATTCAGAAAACAGATGTTGGGAACAGGACAATGGGAATATCTCTGGAAAGGATTTTTAAAAACAGCTCTTGGGAACAGGAGGATAATGGGAATATCTCTGGAAAGGATTTTAAAAAACAGCTGTTGGGAACAGGAAGATAATGGGAATATCTCTAGAAGGGATTTAAAAAACAGCTCTTGGCAACAGGAAGACAATGGGAATGTTTCCAGAAAGGATTCAGAAAACAGCTCTCAGCAACAGGACAATGGGAATGTCTCTAGAAAGGATTTAAAAAACAGCTCTTGGGAACAGAAGGATAATGGGAATGTCTCTGGAAATGATTTAGAAAACAGCTCTAATGTCTCTAGAAAGGATTTAGAAAAAAGCTCTCAGCAACAGGAGGACAATGGGAATGTCTCTAGAAAGGATATTTTGTTCCAAAGATCAGAGGCCTCTCACTCAGTGAAGCCACAAAAAAGCTTAGGAAGCTTCAAGGAGTAAAAGTGACCTCAGTGTGGCTTCAAGGACTGAGTAAAAGTGACCTCAGTGTGGCTTCAAGGAGTAAAAGTGATCTCAGTGTCCCTGTCCCAAAGTGATTTCTGTCCTCACAACCCCATTTATAGCCCTGGCATTGCCATAAGGGCACTAAACACAGCCAAAGAAACAACAAGAGTTTAAATCCCTTTGTCTGATCCACCTGACAGGTTTTCTTTAATCTGAATTATTATTTACTCCACTCCATTTGGGCAGCTCCCAGATACCAGAAAGTTTCCAAGTGTAGCAAGAAGCACCTTCTGCAGAATGGCTTCGGTGCCTGCGTTTCTCTTTCCTCTTCTCATCTTTCCTATGATGGGTTTTTTCTTTCCGGGACATTTGCTGGGGTGGTTTGATAGCCAAGGAATCATCTTCTTCTCCCCTAAAAGGCAAGACAGAAAAAAAATTAAGGAGGTGACAGGAGCTGCCAAACAGACCAGGAGTTATTTCCTTTTTTTTTAAAAAAGATTCCTATTTTATTGTTTTATATTGAATTTCCAAAACTGGAACACAACACATTGTTAAATCTTAACCTCATTCCCTCTTTTTTTAAAGATTCCCATTTTATTATTTGGTACAAAATTTCCAAAACTGGAACACAACACACAGTTAAATCTTAACCTCATTTCCTCTTTTTTAAAATATTCCCATTCTATTATTTTATATAGGATTTCCAAACCTAGAACACAACACACTGTTAAATCTTAACCTTATTTCCTCTTTTGTAAAATATTCCCATTTTATTATTTTATATAGGATTTCCAAAACCGAAACACGTTAAATTTTAACATTATTTCCTCTTTTGCAAAATATTCCCATTTTATTATTTTACATAGGATTTCCAAAACTGAAACATGTCAAATCCTAACCCTATTTCCTCTTTTTTAAAATATTCCCATTTTCTTGTTTTATATTGAACTTCCAACTGAAACACAAATCTTAACCAAAAAGTTCAATCAAAAAATTTCCCTGGTGTGTTCTCTACACAGGATCTGCCACATGTACACACTAAAAAACATCAATTTTTCCCTTCAGGTATTTAAAACCTTCTTTTCAGGATTTCTAAAGGTTGGTTTTTGTAACTTTTTAAAAAATTTCCTCATTTTTACCTGTCTTCCATGGAGTCTTCCCTCCTGTAAGGTGAGTTTCTGATGGTTATTTCCATGCGATGGTCTCTCAGCTCCCCCTCTTCAAGAGAATCCCGCTTGGAATCCCTGTCATCTGACTGAGGGAAGCACAGAGAGGGGAAAATTCAATTTATTTTTATGTCTCAAAATGAAAAAAAAAAAAAAATTAACTATTTTTTTAAAAAAATTACTAAAGTCTTCCATTGCTGGCTCAAAAATCCAGATTTAACTGGTCACCACAGAAAATCCACTAATTTATGATTACAATTATAGCTGAACTGCTTTAAATCAACATAATTAAACAAAATTAAACACTGATTAAGGAGRATTGCATAAATTACTATGTGGGTGCTCTTTCCTGAATTAATTATTTTGTAGATAGCTGTCAAAAACCAAACAATAACATAAAAGTGATTCCAAAWCAATGATTTTAAACCTATTCTTCTCTAAAATCTTTCAAGTTTACTCCTTGAACTCCCAGTTAATTAGAATTATTAATACATTAATTAATTTATCTTTTCTGACTAATAATTATAAAATGCATAATACACAATGCAAGGTCACTAAAATCTTCAGCAAGCATCATATTTTTGTTTAACTTTGGAAATCAGAGATCACCCACAGAGAAATTCAGCTGAAAGCCTTGTTCTCACCAGAAAATCAGAATTCAGGCACTGCACCTCATTAAAATRGATTTTTTCATTAATAAAGATATTTAATGTTTCCATTAAAATGAATCCCAAAGAGCAACTCACATTTTTCATCCGTTTTATCTCTGCCTTCTCCTCTTGCTCCTTCCTTCGTTTCTTCTCCTGGAGAATTTCATCTAAAGTCTTCACCTTCCAAGAATCCTTTTCATCACCCATTGGAGTTAAAAAAAAAAACCTCTGAAAGAGAAGGAGATGTTCACAAACCCCCAAAAACCACATAAAAATCTATTTTACACTGATTTTTTTGAGTGAAAACACTTAACATTCCATTTTTGAGTAAAGTCAGGCTGGAATTGATTTAGGGAAACCAGAAATGTTTGTTTTAAAACCAAAAGAAGGAATAAAGACTCTGCTATAAACACAGAAAATACAGTTTATAGCTAAGATTTGGTGCCACACGTTCAAGAATGATCTGGGACCTCAAG